ATGAATTGATGGGACTGGATATCATGATCTTAGTTTTTTCAATGTTGTGTTAATAGTTTGTACAAATATGGTGGCATCTGTCCTCTCTCAGATAGTAGAGAAAGCAATGGAGAAAATGAGTCTGTAATAGAAGAGTAATGGGAATATTCAGAAAAGATGACTGTGCCATTTGGGATTTCATAATATATAAGGAAGAGAGTGCCATACAAACTCAAATAGAAAACGTAGGAAAGGCAATTCCAAAAAATTAAGCAAAGACATGAATTATCTTTAAATGGAAACATCAAATTTTGGGAGTTCCTTGGTAGCCTAGTTGTTCGGTTCAGTTCAGTTGCTCATTCATCTGTAGCACTTTGCAACCCCATGGACTGCAGCACACCAGGATTCCCTGTCCATCACCAACTCCCGGAGGTTGCTCAAGCTCCTGTCCTTCAAATGGGTGATGCCATCTCATCCTCTGTTGTCCCCTTCTCCTCCTGACTTCAATCTTTCCCAGCATCAGGGTCTTTTCCAATGAGTCAGCTCTTCACATCAGGTGACTAAAATATTGGAGCTTCAGCTTTAGTCCTTCCAATGAATATTCAGGATTGATTTCCTTTAGGATTGACTGGTTTGATCTCCTGCAGTCCAAGGGACTCTCAAGCGTCTTCTCCAACACCTCAGTTCAAAAGCATCAATTCTTTGGCACTTAGCTTTCTTTATAGTCCAACTCTCACATCCATACATGACTACTGGAAAAATCATAGCTTTGACTAGACACACCTTTGTCAGCAAAGTAATGTCTGTGCTTTTTAATATGCTGTCTAGGTTAGTCATAACTTTCCTTCCAAGGAGCAAGTGACTTTTAATTTCATGGCTGCAGTCACCATCTCCAGTGATTTTGGAGCCCATGAAAATAGTCTGTCACTGTTTCCATTGTTTCCTCATCTACTTGCCATGAAGTGATGGGACCAGATGCCATGATCTTATTTTTTTGAATGTTGAATTTTAAGCCAGGTTTTTCACTCTCCTCTTTCACTTTCATCAAGAGGTTCTTTAGTTCCTCTTCGCTTTGTGCTATAAGGGTGGTGTCATCTGCATATCTGAGGTTACTGATATCTCCCGCAGGCGATCTTGATTCTAGCTTGTGCTTCATCCAGCCTGGCATTTCACATGATGTACTCTGCATATAAGTTAAATAAGCAGGGTGACAATATACAGCCTTGACGTACTCCTTTCCCAATTTGGAACCAGTCTGCTGTTCCATGTCCAGTTCTAATGGTTGCTTCTTGACCTGCATACAGGTTTCACAGGAAGCAGGTAGGTGATTCCCATTTCTGGTATTCCCATTTCTTTAAGAATTTTCCACGGTTTGTTGTGATCCACACAGTCAAGGCTTTGGAGTAGTCAATGAAGCAGAAGTAGATGTTTTCTCTGGAATTCTCTTGCTTTTTCTATAACCTAGTGGATGTTGGCAATTTGATCTCTGGTCCCTCTGCCTTTTCTAAATCCAGCTTCTACATCTGGAAGTTCTTGGTTCACGTACCGTTGAAGCCTAGCATGGATGATTTCGAGCATGACCTTGCTAGCATGTGAAATTAGTGCAATTTTGTGGTAATCTGAACATTTTTTGGCATAGCCTTTCTTTGGGATTGGAATGAAAATCGATCTTTTCCAGTCCTGTGACCATTGCTGAGTTTTCCAAATATGCTGGCATAACGAATGCAGCACTTTAACAGCATCATCTTTAAGATTTGAATTAGCTCAGCTGGAATTCCATCACCTCTACTAGCTTTGTTCATAATGATGCTTCTTAACGCCCATTTGACTTCATAATTCAGGATGTCTGGCTCTAGGTGAGTAATCACACCATCATGGTTATCCACATCATTAGATCTTTTTTGTATAGCTCTTCTGTTTATTCTTGTTACCTCTTCCTAATATCTTTGGCTTCTGTTCTGTTAATATCTCCTGCTTCACTGCTGTGGTCCAGGTTCAATCCCTGGTCAGGGAGCTGACATGCCACAAGCTGCTAGTGTGGCAAAAAAAAAAAAAACTGTGTGTGTTTCAAGTCTGACTGTGTGGATCACAACAAACTGAAAAATTCTTAAAGAGATGGGAATACCAGGTCACCTTACCTGCCTCCTGCGAAACCTGTATGCAGGTCAAGAAGCAACAGTTAGAACCAGACATGGAACAACAAACTGGTTCCAAATTGGGAAAGGAGTACGTCAAGGCTGTATATTGTTACCCTGTTTATTTAACCTATATGCAGAATACATCACTCAAATAGTAATGAATGAGTAATCGGTAGTACATTTGAGAAGACATTTCTCAACTTTTCTGTGTCTGTCTGTCTGTCTGTGAAGTGGGTATTATAATGGTAAGACTGCATATCTACAAGTACCCCCATACATAGTAAGAATTCTATTAATGTTAATTATTATAATCATCTAAAAGTAATACTGAATCCTGCTAAGGACTCTGGGGAGTGCAGGTTTGCTTCCTTGAAGGAAGGAAGGAATATATTCCAAACAACAATAAAAAGAGTATCAACAAAGTCTTTAAGAATATGTATGTATGTGTGTTTGAATTAAATACATTAAAGTATAGATAGGAACATTGCTGGTGAAAATCACGTAACATTAATAGAAGAGGAGAATGACTAAGTTTAAATGTTTTTTGTGTTAATGACAAATTTCATTAAGCTGGAAGGTGTTAATTAATCACTGTTAAGAAGGAAGCTCCAGATAAGGACAAGACTGGTAGGGAGCATCAGGTTGGTTAAATAGTTCAGGGCTGTAAACCCAGGACAATTAGAAGAAAGAGAGAGAAAAAGAGGTGCGGGATAGGGGAGAAGGGAAGGGGAGGAGAGGGGGAAGAGGCGGAAAGCCAGGGGGAGGACAAGGGAGATAAGGAAGGATATATATGTGTGTGTATGTGAATGATCTGGCTTAATAGTATTTCATGTAAAGACTACCAGTGCTTAAGCTTAGTAGGTTTTCAATAACTTTATGTGAAACTGATTGAACGCATAAGGCTTATAATTAACCACAGACATACGAGCCAGTGGTGTAATGTGATTTCCAGAATGCCAAGGCAAATCTAAACTAAATTGATCTGTCTGTTTTGAGGGAGACAGCAATCCCACCTGAGTCTTGCTATTGGTATGAAGTCAAGATTCTGAGCCACTTCTGGATAAAAATTCTAATAGGAATATCAACAAAGTTCACTGCTGGGCTGAGAACGATTAGGTCTCTAGAAAACCATGACTTAAGAAAAAGTTGAAGGAACTGAGACTGCCCTGAGAGCTATCTTCAAATATTAGAGGGATCCTGCCCATGGGGGAGGGATAAATTTACTCAGTATTGCTGAGGGGGTCAGAAGGATGAACAGAGGAAAGTCAGAATAAGCCCTCAGATTAAGGAAGGACTATGTGACCTAAATAACGGTCAATGGAATGGGCTGTCTCAAAATACAGAGGAGAATTTTCTGTCGTTGGCAAGGAATCTATTTAGAGGCTGGATGATCATTTGTTGCAGACTCTTGCTTTGTGGAAAATCATCATCTGTAATGTCACATCAGACTCCAAGGTTTTGTTTTTTTTCACTTGAAGTGCTAAATTAGAATTTTATTAAACAATGATGTCAGTTTCTATATGAGCTATTTTAACACTGTCTTCATTTCTGTAAGTGATACATGAACAGTCATCAGTATAATGATAAATTCAGTCAGTTCAGTTCAGTCTCTCAGTCGTGTCCAATTCTTTGCAACCCCATGGACTACAGCATGCCAAGCTTCCTTGTCCATCTCCAGCTCCTGGAGGTTGCTCAAACTCATGTCCATCGAGTGGGTGATGCCATCCAACCATCTCATCCTCTGTCCTCCTCTTCTCCTTCTGTCTTCAATCTCTCCCAGCATCAGGGTCTTTTCCAATGAATAAGTTCTTCACATCAGGTAGCCCCAAAGTATTGGAGCTTCAGCATCAGTCCTTCCAATAAATATTCCGGACTGATTTCGTTTAGAATTGACTGGTTTGATCTCCTTTCAGTCCAAGAGACTCTCAAGCATCTTCTTCAACACCACAATTCAAAAGCATCAATTCTTTGGTGCTCAGCTTTCTTTATAGTCCAACTCTCACATCCATACATGACTACTGGAAAAACCATAGCCTTGACTAGATGGACCTTTGTTGGCCAAGTAATATCTGTGTTTTTTAACATGCTGTCTAAGTTGGTCATAGCTTTCTTTCCAGGGAGCAAGCGTCTTTTAATTTCATGGCTGCAGTCACCATCTCCAGTGATTTTGGAGCCCAAGAAAATAAATTCTGTCACTGTTTCCATTGTTTCCCCATCTTTTTGCCATGAAGTGATGGGACCAGATGCCATGATCTTAGTCTTTGAATGTTGAATTTTCACTCTCTTTCACTCTCTTCTTTCACTTTCATCAAGAGACTCTTTAGTTCCTCTTTGCTTTCTGCCATAAGGGTGGTGTCATCTGCATATCTGAGGTTACTGATATTTCTCCTGGCAATCTTGACTCCAGCTTGCGCTTCATCCAGTCCAGCGTTTCTCATGATGTACTCTGCATATAAGTTAAATAAGCAGGGTGACAATATACAGCCTTGACATACTCCTTTCCCAATTTGGAACCAGTCTGCTGTTCCATGTACAGTTCTAACTGTTGCTTCTTGACCTGTGTAAAGGTTTCGAAGGAGGCAGGTAAGGTGATCTGGTATTCCCATCTCTTTAAGAATTTTCCACAGTTTGCTGTGATCCACACGGTCTTTGTATAAGAGTTTGTATAAGTTACGGAGTTACAATCTGATTATTCAAATAGCATCCAATATCACAAAATTTAAGTAAAAAGAATTTGGAAAGTGTCTGAGGATTGTAATGTGACTTGAACTATGATAGTGTGGGTTATTGCCACATACCAACTTAAGACATGAATTATTTTAAACTTTGAACTGTTGTTAAAGAATCTATGCATAGCTCCTTTTTTAATTGTTCTAATTTCAGTTCTTAAAGATCTGAATTTCATTAAACAGTATTATAATTGGAAGAAAGATGATCTAAGACATACTAAAGAATGGAGTTTGAGGTAAGTAATTTTAAGTGTCTGGAATATTTTCCTATGTACCTTAAATATCTATTATTCACTTTCTACTAACTGAACTATTAGAAGAAACCCATTGAATTTCTTTAAAACCTGAACAAAACTAAGTATCATTTTGTCCTTTCTTATGAACCCAGGTGGGAAATATCTTTGCTATCTACTGGCTTCCAAAGATGGAGACAGGACCCGAGCCACTGTGAAGGGTTCTCACAATACTTTTCCTATTAATTTTCTTGTTTCCATCCTCGTTGTTGTTCAGTCACCAAGTCATGTCCAACTCTTTGCGACTCCATGGACTGTGGCATACCACGCTCGTCTGTCCACCACTATCTCCCAGAGTTTACACAAATTCATGTCCATTGAATCAGTGATGCCATCTAACCGTCTCATCCTCTGCCACCCGCTTCTCTGCCTTCAATCTTTCTCAGCATCAGGATCTTTTCCAGTGAGTCAGTTCTTATCATCAAGTGGCCAAAGTATTGAAGTTTCAGCTTACATCAGTCCTTCCATTGAATATTCAGGGTTGATTTCCTTTAAATTGATTGGTTGGATCTCCTTGCAGTCCAAGGGACTCTGAAGAGTTCTCCAGCATCACAATTCAAAAACATCAATTCTGGGACTTCCCTGGTGGTCTAGTGGCTAAGACTCTGTGCTCCCAATGCAGGGGGCCTGGGTTCGACCTCTGGTCGGGGAACTAGATCTCGCATGTCACAAATAAGACCTGGTGCAACTAAATAAATTTTTAAAAAAATCAATTCTTTAGTGCCCAGCCTTCTTTATGGTCCAACTCTCACATCTGTATAGATCACCAGTTAGCATTTCATCTTTCTCATGGTTTCAAATACCTTTTCCTCTTTCACAAAAGGATTATTCACTCAGGAACCAAGTATATTAAATTAATGAGGAAGTATGTAATTAAATACAATGATAAATTATGACAGTATCTTTTGAATTACTTTTAGACCACATTAAGGAAGGGGCCTTAATCTCAGCTTTGGTCTTCTGACTTCTGAAGGCGTGTTTTTTGCTTCATCTGCTTAGAGCACAGATTCCATCTCTGCTCTGTGGTACTGGCCGTGTAGTAGTAGTCATTTATTCCGATGTGTTTATTTCAAAGCATGCAGTGAATGTACTACCACAAAGCTAGGGGAATTACAGCTCCTATTTTTTTGTATTTACTTCATTTTTTAGCGCCTTGTTAGCATTGTGACCTCTATACTAGGTGAAAATACAGGATTAATAAAAAATAGTGTGCTTATTATGAATTTGTGTAGAAACCAAGGCTCTTAAAATAGACTTTCCTGTCCTTTAATATCATAGTTCAGATCGAATTTTTCGGTTGGAGAATTTTTTTCAGTTAGTTTCTGCATCAACCTCCCTTTGAGCCAAAATGGAGAAAAGCTTTTGCATTAGATAGATACTTTTCTGCTTTCAGAGTAAATTGCAAGCAGTAGAAAAGCTTTTATGGAGCAGAAGTTGAAGAAGTATGAGCATGGTTTTTGTTTTTTTTTTTTTCTGGAAGGCATACTTCAAGTTTCGCTTAAAGAAACCTACATAGAATATAAGGTTAATTTTGCTTTGACATGACTTCCTTTTTTATTTCCTCTGACAGAAATACTTTGTTTTATTTGTTTGATTATTGATTCATTATGTAAGGCCAGTCCCACAGAACTCAAAATGCAGAAAGAGTAGGACCATGTCATTTTACACTTATCCACCCACTTCTCCCATATGGCTGAAATAATTGTGAGCTGTTGGAGTGCTAGAACATTTTCCAAAATACATTATTTTGAAGTTATAGGTCAGATTATCATGTGCATGGTAACCCTGTCAGAATAAAACTCTCACACCTTATGCCATCTGGTGGTTGATGAGAATATATTTAGATCAGATAATAACAAAACATTGATTTAAACAATATTTAAAGTGTTTAAAAGATATATTTATCTGCATAATTTTATTGCATGCAAAGATATAAAGTATGGTGGAATCCAATTTTTAAAATAATAAAAATCTCGTGTTTATCAAAATACATAAGGTGTAATAAAGTGGTCAATTCACGAAATTCAAGTAAAATTTTTGGGAATCTATGCAAGTGAGTAGTTGGTCTATGTGTACATGCAATATAATACCTTATGCATCTCTCTGTTTTTAATATCTGAAAATGCTTTCCTCACATGGAAATTTCCCCTTTTAAAAGACCCAGAAAATGCAAGTTGAGAGTCTTTCATCTAGAGTTCAGGAAAGAGACTTATCCCTTCTGCCTCATGGTCCTCCCCCTACTATCTGGAATCCCATCCCCTCATCTATCAAGACTGATTCGTAAGCTACCCTAAATTCTTTTTTTTTTTCCCCTCCCTATTGTTTGGGAACATGAGATCTTTTCACCACTTTGTGCCTTCTGCCTGGGTTATCTTTCCCAGCAGGGTTTCAAGTGAGGATTTGGTCTGAGTTAAAAGGTGGGACGTGGGGCACTTAAATGCAGGGACGTGGGAGCCAGACTTTTTGCATGTGAATCCTGGCTCTGCCAGTTACCAACGCTGTGACCTCGGGCATGTTATCTGACTGCTTTGTCCCTCAGTGTCTTTATCTATTAAATGGCAGTAATAACTCTACCCACCTCCCAAGGAGATTGTGAGGATTAAATATACTGATACGTGCATGTAAAACGCTTCAAACAGTATCTGGTACATGTAAAGTGTGCCCCACTTGAGGTTCACTATTATTCATCTTTTCCTTACTGTGGCCCTAGTTCAATTGTCTCATGGGAACTCTTTCTTTCTGGGCAGCATGGGGAACAGGGGTGGGCTGTAGTGTCAGACAGATCTTGGAGAAACTCTTACCCTCTCTGAGCTTATCTCCTTATCTATTATATGAGATATTACCTACCTTACGAAGTGGTCTTGCATTTGATCTCTTGAATGAGATCATACATATAAAAACCACAGTGTTTAGCACATGGACATTCAGTAAATATTAGTTCCCAAGGAGAGGAGGTGACAAAAACCCATGTTCCCCAACTTTTTAGAGAATAAAAATAGAAACGTGTTAAACTGTTGAAATTTTCTCAGTCTAGAAACCAAACATCAACACCTATCAAGGCCACATTTATTCTAACCCCACTCTACCCATGGTTCTTTTCCCTTCTCTGTCCTGTTGCCTCTTCAGCCTGGCAAAGCGCTCCACAAGGATGGCATGAAGACCCAGCTCAGCTGTGTTCTGTGGAACGGTCCCTGCTTCAGGCTCCCGTGTCCCCCCGTCCTTTCCTTCTGGAGCATTCTGTCCCTGTCTCTCTGAGTGCCTGTGGTAGGGAAATTCATCTGTTCACGCGGAATGATCGGGGCAGGACCGTTCTTGTAGCTTTGTATTCTCTGCACTTAGCCTGGTACCTGGCAACTAGTAGGCACTTGATTCGTGTAAGTTGAATGATACATACTCACCCTGTTTTCCCACTTAATAAAAGGATTAAATGTGAAGGCAGTTAATTTTAGGAAAAGTAAAATATTGGGGCCCATTTTAATGTACTGATTATGGTTATATTTAAGGTATTCTAAGGGTATAGTCATAGAGCAGTGATTGAAAACTGGAAATATAAATGACTGTCATGAATATTTTATGCAAATTCTTAAGTTTTACACATGTTTTTAGTTAGTATTAATAAGAGCTCACTGTCATTATTAGCAGCTCATAAATATTCATGAACCAATCATTTGGTTTGGTGTTCATTTCTAAGGTCTTTTTTCTTTCCTATTGCCTTGCCGGACTTTTGGCTATTCATGAAAAGGCTTTATGTCTACCAAGAAATGGGAAAGAATATGAACCTAGAATCTAATCAGTAGTTCATATTAATTTTCTCTAGAGAAAATGAAAGCTGCAAACTAGGAAAGTAGTGCAAGCTTTTCTTTTGACTATCCTTACTTAAGCACATGTAACATGACTTTTACATCATACTCTATACCTAGTGATTGCTTATCTGGTCATGGAAAGAACTATGGCAGTCACCTAAGCTTTGTCAGCCTGCAAGTTATCTAAATAAAAGTTATCAATTCTGGAGAAGTTCTACATTCAGTGTGACTTTGGGAGAGAATATTGCCCTTTTCCATACTTTGAAGCACAAAGGAAATGGGAACTAATGTGGTGATACACCTACTGTATGCCATGCATTCTCTCTTCATTTCCTAATGTGACACTGGCCACACTGCGGAGTGGACAGTTACACCTCCAGGCATAAGCACACGCCTCTAAGTGTAACCCACAAGAATATCATCAGCCACGTTCAAAGCCACAGCAAATCAATCTACGCTCCAAGTCAGACCACTTCCCTTGTCATACAGACAGAGCCTCATGACAATGTTCCTAGCTTCCCTTTTCAACTGGATTGTGACTCCTAGGTTTCTGGACAGGAGTGTGGAGGAAATGTAGAGGTAAATGTAATGAACGAAAAAATGAGGCACAAAGAGATAACTAACTTGCCCAAAGTTATTGATAAAAACATACTGTTTTTGAAAACTGAAACTCTACTTCCCATCTGCCTATGAATATGTGCTTATTAAAAGCTTAAAATTTTCAGGTACATGTAAAAATACTACCTACCCAATTACTAACACAAGTCAAGTCTGCTATTGTGAAAATGTTTTGTGGTTTTGGATCGATTCTAATTCTATTATTAAACAGTGTTAGTTCCCTTTTTCTTCTGTGTAAAACGGTTTGTGCATGCGTACTCAGTCGTGGCCAACTCTTTGCGACCCCCTGGACTGTAGTCCACCACCCTCCTCTGTCCATGAAGTTTTCCAAGCAAGAATACTGGAGTGGGTTGCCATTTTCCTACTCCAGGGGATCTTTCCAACCTGGGGATCAAACCTGCACCCCCTGCATTGCAGGCGGATTCTTTATCGCTGAGCCACCAGGGAAGCCCTTTAATAAAAATGGATTGTTGTTACTGTTACTCAGTTGCTGAGTCGTGTCCAACTCCTTGCAACCCGGTGGACGGCCGCACACCAGGCTTCCTAGCTGTTCACCATCTCCTGGAGTTTGCTCAAACTCATGTCCATTGTCAGTGATGCCATCCAACCATCTCATCCTCTGTCACTTCCTTCTCAACCTGCTTCAATCTCTCCCAGCATCAGGGTCTTTTCCAGTAAGTTGGCTCTTTGCATCAGATGGCCAAAGTACTGGAGTTTCAGCTTCAGCATCAATCCTTCCAATGAATATTCAGAGTTGATTTCCTTTAGGATTGATTGGTTTGATCTCCTTGCAGTCCAAGAGACTCTCAAGAGTTTTCTCCAGCACTACAATTCAAAGACATCAGTTCTTTGGCACTCAGCCTTCTTTATGGCCCAGTTCTCACATCCATATATGGCTACTGGAAAAACCATAGGTTTGACTATATGGACCTATGTTGGCAAAATAAGTCTCTGCTTTTTAATATACTGTCTAGGTTTGCCATAGCTTTCCTTCCAAGGAGGAAGCATATTTTAAAGTGGATTATCATGTGTTATATTAAAATACCAATATAAAACTTTCTTATATTTGTAAAATGTACTCTTAGTTGTACTGTATTTTAAGTGAATGAGTTAATATTCATTGTTTCTAAGTTCCTGTAGTATCTGATTTTTTGACTGTGTGTTTTAACTCACAAAAATATGTGATCATCCTTTAACATAACTATGTTTGATTCCAGTTTCTCCAGTTATATAGAAAGTATCTATTCTGGGTACGTTAACTTACTGTTTGCTTGTGTTATCCTTTCAGGATTATTGACGTTAAACATTGTTTTTGTAGGTTTACATAATTATATATTTAATGCATTTTTAAGCAGGAATTACTTTTTTATTCCCCAAAGATTAAACCTTGGGTGCCATCTTGTGGTTGAAGGGAGAAATGGCATTAGAACGAGTATTTCAAATGTCCCTTTTAAAATAAAGACATGGAAAAATTAGAGAAAAATTCTTTTAAAAAATAATTTTACTTAGTGGCTGCTTAGATATTTTTAGAGACTGAAAGCTCAGTATTTCAGGTACATTCACGTAGCTCTAATCTTCCTTATTTCAAACTTAAATCTAACATCTTGTGATATTCAGCTACTCCAAATTTCTTTCATTCATTTAACAGACTTTTCTTGAACACCTGTTATGCACTTTTACATATGTCTACAAAGCCATCCAGATAGTGAGAAATTGCCTCCATCTTATAAGGAAGATTTTAACAGAAAAAAAGAAAAAAACAAATTTGCTAAGGTTACACACTCAGTGAACGACAGAGCTGAAATTCAAATCCCAGCCTACCTACCAGATGCTATAAGGCATGCCTTATTTGATCAGATTGAGTATCAGCTCAGACGCCAAGCAACCTTGGCTTTGGATGTGGGTAGAAAGCATTATTCAGGGGAGACTGCTGTGGTAGAAGGGGCTTCCCAGGAAGGTAAAGAACCTTCCTGCCAAGTCAGGAAACGTAAGAGATGTGGGTTCGATCCCTGAGTCAGAAAGATGCCCTGGAGGAGGGCATGGCAACCCACTCCAGTTTTCCTGCCTGGAGAATCCCATGGACAGAGGAGCCTGGCAGGCTACAGACCATGGGATCGCAAAGAGTCAGACATGACTGAAGAGATTTAGCAGGCAGCACGTTGTGGTAGATGAGAAAGGACTCCTAACTGTCCTTCGAAGCAACACAGGTAAGGCTCCTCTGTTTTGTGGACTTGCCCTCTAAGTCTCAGAAAAGAGTCATAATGTCTTTCTCTTTCCTCCTCTTGAGTTTTCTCATTTTCACAATAAACACACCAAGTTCTCTCAGCTGTTTTTTTTTAATGAATTTTTTAGTCTTTATTGTTTCTCTCTTATGGATATGATTCATTAATTTTTCTCTCAGAAGGTTGCCCCCAGATTTTACCGTGGATCTTGGCTGTAGCACAGAATCTGATGGATCTTCCTGTGTTATAAACAGTGTGGCTTAAGGCTGCTTCCTCTTCCATCTCTCTTCAGAAAGAGGGGTTTCAATTCAAAAACATACTAGGCTACCCCCCTCCTCCTGCCAAAAAGGGAATCATTTCTTTGGTTCTGCTCCCACATAGAACACTCTTCTGAGAGAGTGATCTCTCTTTCTCTTTCTCTCTCTCTCCCTCTCCCCATTGCCTACCCCTACAACAACCTACCCCACTCCCCAAAGCCACAGAAACGTATTGCGTGAGTTTACTTATGCCTTGGTCTAAGCAAGGTAAGACTGAAGACAGCTGTGGTTCCCTAAAGGCTTATTAGTGTATATTTTACTTGAAGGGAAGGATAAAAAGGAGACCAAGAAGTTTCTTAGAGCATGTTACTGAAAGTCAGGTTACTAGATAGAAGGATGTAATAAGTTTTATGACACTTGTTATGTACATAGAGCAACTTCTCAAGAATGTATAACAGTTTACAGAGCCACCAAAATGATACAAGAATTTAATAAGAACAAGCATTAGGGTTTTTGCTTTGTTTCTTTTAATATTTATTGCACCTTCCCTTATAGTCATTTTAATTGCATTTTTAATTTTAAAATTGTGACAATCAAGATTTTTTTATAATTTATGTTTTTAGTTAGATAAAGGCAAATGTTTAAATGAAAGAGGAAATATCAATAGTATATAGTTTCTTGAGGACAAAGATTTACCACTGGGGGAGAAACAGTATAAATCAAGTTATACTGTTTTCTAACTAAAGTCATGTTTGCCTTGAGGAAAATAAGATTATAATGATTTTGTTTGTTTTGAAATTCATACAAGACTTACAGAGCTAGACATGGTGTACATTCCTGCTAGTTAGAGTGGCTAGAACTCTTAATTCAAAGGACATTGGATGGAAACTTCAGAAGGGTCATACATTAGGAATGGGGCTATAAAGATAAAAAAAAGATAGGGCTAACTCATGTCCAACTCTTGCGATCCCATAAATTGTAGCCTGCCAGGCTCCTCTGTCCATGGGATTCTCCAGGCAAGAATACTGGAGTGGGTTGCCATTTCCTCCTCCAGGGGACCTTCCTGATCCAACGATCAAACCTGGGTCTCCCACATTGCAGGCAGATGCTTTATGGAAGCCCATACTATCAAGAGGCTGGGAAAATACATGGAAAAGAGGAATACTGTTATCATGACTGGCTTTGACTAATCTTGGTTTATTTACTGGAACCAGTGAAGGGACATACTTTCCCTCAATGTAAAGCACCTACTGCTGCTTCCATGAGTGAGTCAGAGATCCTTAAGTAAGGAGAAAGTAGGGAGGGGGGATAAGCCCTGAACAATACGGATATTTGGTTGTTCGTGTAATCTTGGTCCCCAAAGTGGCATTGTTCTGTCATGGCAAAGAATTAAGATGGAAGTTGTATGTGTAGCCTCCACCTTCAGACCTAATTTTAGACAAAAAGGAGTAAAGCTCTTCCAACCTTTTTTTATTTCACTTCATACTGAGAGAGCTAATCCTTAGTTAGGGTGATAAGGAGTTCCAGGGACCTTGTGGAGAAGAGAGGGGTCTGGGGCTCTCAAGGAGGAGAAAAGGACA